ATCTGGAAGGTCTCTGTTAACTACTATTGAAGCCTAGCTTGAAGGATTTGAGGTATAACCTAACTAGTTGTGAAATGAGCACAACTGTATGATTGAACATTCTTTGACATTGCCTTACTTTGAAATTGGAATGAAAACTGACCTTTTCAGGCCTGTGGCCAGTGTTGAGTCTTCCAAATCTGCTGGCATATTGAGTGCAGCACTTTAATGATGCCATATTTTAGGATTTGAAATAGCTCAGCTGGAACTCCACCAGCTTTATTTGTAGTGATGCTTCATAAGGCCTGCTTGACTTTGCACTCCAGGATGTCTGGCTTTAGGTGAGTGATCACACCATCATGGTTATCTGGGTCATTATGACTTTTTTTTCCCAGTAGTCATGTACTGATATGAAAGTTGGACCATAGAGAAGGTTGAGCACTGAAGAATGGATGCTTTTGAATTGTGTTGCTGGAGAAGACTCTTAAGAGTCCCTTGCCCAGCAAGGAGATCAAACCCATCAATCCTAAAGGAAGTCAACCCTGAATATTCATTGGAATGACTGATGCTGAAGCTCTAATACTTTGGTCGCCTGATGCAAAGAGTGGACTCATTGGGAAAGACCCTGATGCTGGGAAAGACTGAGGGCAAGAGGAGAAGGGGGCAAAAGAGGATGAGATGGTTGGATGGCCTTACTTACTCAGTGGACATGAGTCTGAGCAAACTCTGGGAGATAGTGAAGGACAGGGAAGCCTGGCATGCTGCAGTTTATGGTGTCACAAAGAGTTGGACATGACTTAGCTACTGAACAACAAAAAAGAATTTTTTGTGTAGTTCTTCTGTGTATTCTTGTCACCTCTTCTTAATCTCTTGTGCTTCTGTTAGATCCATACAACTTCTGTCTTTTATTGTGCCTGTCTTTGCATGAAATATTCTCTTGATCTCTCCAGTTTTCTTGAAGAGATCTCTAGTCTGTCCCACTTTATTGTTTTCCTCTATTTCTTTGCACTGTTCACTTAAGAAGGCTTTCTTATCTCCCCTCTGGAAATCTGCATTCAGTTGGGTATATCTGCCCCTTTCTCCGTTGCCTTTTGCTTCTCTTCTTTTCTCAGTTATTTGTAAGGCCTCTTCAGACCACCACTTTGCCTTCTTGTGTTTCTTTTTCTTTGGGATGGTTTTGGTCACCACCTCCTATACAGTTATGAACTTCCATCCATAGTTCTTCACATTCTCTGTCTATCAGATCTAATCCCTTGAATGTATTTGTCACCTCCACTGTTTAATAATAAGGATTTTGATTTAGGTCATACCTGAATGGTCTTGTGGTTTTCTTTACTTTTTTAAATTTAAGCCTGAATTTTGTAATAAGGAGTTCATGATCTGAGCCACAGTCATCTCCAGGTCTTGTTTTTTTTTTTTTGTTTGACTTTAGAGAGCTTTTCCATCTTCAGCTGCCAAGAATATAATCAGTTAGATTTTGGCATGACCGCCTGGTGATGTTCATATTTAGAGTCATCTCCTGTGTTCTTGGAAGAGGGTGTTTGCTTGACCAGTGTGATGTTCTCTTGGAAAAATTCTGTTAGCCTTTTCCCTACTTCTTTTTGTGCTCCAAGGTCAAACTTGCCTGTTACTCCAGGTATCTCTTGACTTTCTACTTTTGCATTCCAGTTCCCTATGATGAAAAGGACATCTTTATTGGTGTTAGTTCTAGAAGGTCCTATAGGTCTTCAGCCATTCAACATCGGCCTTTTTGGCATTAATTGTTGAGGCATAGACTTGGATTACTGTGATGTTGAATTGTTTGCCTTAGAGATGAACTGAAATCATTCTGCTTTTTTTTTTTGGAGATTGCACCCAAGTACTGCATTTCAGATGCTTTCATTGAGTATGAGGGCTACTCCATTTAGTCTAAGAAATTCTTGCCCACAGTAGTAGATATAATAGTCATCTGATTTAAATTTGCCCATTCCCATCCATTTTAGTTCACTGATTCCTAATAAGTTGATGTTCACTCTTGCTGTCTCTTTGCTGACCACTTGATTATTGGACCCAACATTCCAGGTTCCTATGCAATATTGTTCTTTACAGCATCAGTAAAAAGGGAGTAAATAGGCCGACTTTGTCTCCTGTAAACATGTTAAGGTAATAGTCATGGCAACAATCAACAAACAAAGAGGGGCAAACTGTGTTTGAGTAAAGAATTGAGGGATCTCGACTCCTTTCTGGGACATGTGAGAGACTACTCATGTGCAGAAAGTTTCCTTGTGGGTCAAAATCAGGGAATAATGCCAGGCCATAATGGCTGTTGCTCTTCCCAGAAACCTTCACTTCGAGATCCAGCTTGGCTGAGGGGGGTGGGTGCACACCCAGGGGAGGGTCCTGAGACAAATTAGCCTGGGAGGGAGCTGTGGGCAAAGCAAGATGACTAGCTTGAAGGAAGACAAAGATCTGAAACACTGCTGCCCCTTGTAGCTCAGTTCTTAAAGAATCTGCCTACAATATAGGAGACCCGGGTTTGATTCCTGGGTTGGAAGGATCCTCTGGAGAAGGAAATGGCAACGCACTCCAGTATTCTTGCCTGGGAAATCCCGTGGACAGAGGAGCCTGGCGGGCTAGAGTCCATGGGGTCCCAAGCATTGGACATGACTTAATGACTAAACCACCAAGCGTCCCAGACGTGGGATTCTCTTTCTAGTTCGCCATTGTGTCTTTCCATATGTACTTTTCTTTTTCAACACACTTTTCAGTTTTACCTTTTGCCTCCTCGTCTGAATTCTTTCTTGACTTAGCAGGCAAGGACCAGGGCTGTCCAGTGGCAGTCCTCTCCTACCCCTGAAAGGTTTGGAAAAACACTAGCATGGCCCCCAGCTGACAAGGCACCACTCCACGATGACCCAGCTCCCCTAAAAGGCCCGCTGGAGAGAGCCCAGCATGGCCAGCACCCACCCAGGCCCTGGCCCCCTTCTTGGAGCTGTCCCTGAGCAGGATCCTCCTCCGCCCTTGGGGAGTGTTCAGTCTCCTCGGTCCCCGGTGTCTCTGAGGACGGAGTCCTGGCTCCATCCTACACCCAGGCCAGCCGGCGGACACAGCGACCTCATCGCATGCGGGTGGCCACCCTTCCTGGTCCCTCTCTGGAGCCTGGGGGCCCCTCCCGCTTTTCCTGTGACACAGCCAACACCTTTGTGCAGCCCAGGCTGAGCGCAGTGTCCCCAGCGCCCTCTGAGGTCCTCCTCACTGACCAGTGCGTCCTGAGCACTGAACCAGGTCTGGGTGCTCCCTTTGACACCCCTCCCTCAGCTGCCCCTCCTGGCCTGCCTTCACTGGTGTCCCCTCCTGCTCTTGGTTTCCTGCACCAAGTCACCTGTCTGGGGCAGAATTGTGACCCCAAATTCACATCTTGCAGCCCTGACCCCCAGACCTCAAGCATCACTGCATTTGGAGGTGGGGTCTCTAAAGAGGTGATGAGGGTGAACTGGGATCCCAGGGTGGGCCCTCATCCAGTCTGACTGGAGATCCTCTAAGAGGAGGTGAGGGCAGAGACAGGTACAGAGGGGCACCCATGTGAAGACACAGCATCTGCACCCCATGGAGACAGGCCTCAGGAGGAGCCAGCCCTGTGCTCCTGGATCTAGGGTCCCAGGCTCCAGGGTGTGGTCCAAGCCCCCTGTGGTGTTTGTTACAGCCTCTTGTGCTGACCACCCAACATGGGGCACTTGTCTGTGGCTCCCCTGGTGCAAGGCTGGCCTCTGCCTATGAGGGGGAGTGGGAGCCCTAGAGGTGGCTAGGGGGTGGGAATGAGGCACCCCAGGGTCAGGTAGGGATAGGGAACAGGGACTCTAGGTGCAGTTGGAAGGGGGGCAGGAAGCCTAGGGGCCAGTGGGGGTGGGGCGGCCAGGCTGTGGACTCCACAAAAGGAGAAGGTATGTCAACAAACAGAGACTGGCCAGTGGGCTAGGTGAAGTAAAGATGCTTTATTGTCATTAAACAGATAAAGAGACAGCAAAGAGAAAGAACAGGTCCGCACATTATACAGAAGAAGCTTCCCAAGCTCTGAGGCTGTGGTCCTTCCTTCCAGTCCTAGGGGCAGCGCCTCCCATCCAGAGACACCCCTGCACATTTCTGCAATGACGGGAGAGTCTGTACTGGGAGGCGAGGCAGGGCTCTGGGGCCTGGGGCTGGGCCTTTGTGGGTCTCTGGTCTCGCCTCTCACCCCCGCCCTCGGTGCAGGCTGAGCTCCTGCGGGACGTGTCAGGCTGTTGGCCGCGGGATGGACTGGCTGCCCTGCCGTCCTATATTCTGGGAGCCCCTCCAGCTCTGTCCACTGGGATCGGTCACCAGGCCCCTTTCCAGGCGGTCCGGCTGGCTGGACGTCACCCCTTTCCCCACCAGGGCTCCTGCAGCAGCGTCCTCGGTGGAGGTGACCTGAGTAACCATTAATGGTCCTCACAGGAGCTTCCCTGCTGGGAGGCTGGGCCCCCGTAGGACAGCTGTTTCCAAGGATCTGACACAGGGCCCTCCCCCAGGGACCTATGGTCTAAATCCCGACCTGGACAAGATGCAGGGACTGGGCCCTGGGCATACGGTGTGGGATCCCAGCTTCCTTCTTCAGAGACCCTGTGGTCTGGATCCCGGCCTGGACAAGATACATGGCATGGGAGGAGGTGCCCTGTGCAGATAGCCCTGGACCTAGCCTCCTACTCCTCCAAGCAGAACTGAACTCTGACCTGTGTGTTCCTGGTGGGGGACTAGCAGCCCATTGATGTTTTGCAGTCTTCCCAGAGGCCCTGAGCATCCATCAGCTGGGGTAGGGTCATCGCCTGCTATCCATTTGGGTCTTCAGGGGCGGGGGCAGGTTTTGGTGACCGTGAGGCCTGCGGGTAGAGATGCGGCGAGGCTGGCCAAGAGGTCAGAGGTCGCTGGGTCAGAGTGCGAAGGAGCACGTCTGGTGCAGGTTGAGGCTCGAAATAATGGACGCTGTCCAGTCGGGTCTGGGGCGGCCCTGGACTCTGTTCACAGGAGCTCTAGGCGCCCTGTCCAATCATGTTTCTGTAGTCAGGGACAATAGTCCTCTTCAGCTCCACCACTGATGAGAAGATCCACTTCACCTGGGGTGGGGGGACAGGGTGAGCAGACTGGACCCCACATGGACCTCCCCCAGGGGCAGTGATGAAATAGCAAGGGGACAGTGAGTGGAGAGTGAGGGGACGGGGAGTGGACACAGAGTGAGAGTAATGGACAATGAGTGGATAGTGAGGGACAGCAACAGGACAGACTGAACAGTGAGGGAGAGGGAGGGAGAGGGAGGGAGAGGGAGGGAGAGGGAGGGAGAGTGAGGGAGAGAGAGGGGGACAGAGGGAGAGAGAGGGAGAGAGAGGGAGAGAGAGGGAGAGAGAGGGGGAGTGAGGGAGAGAGAGGGAGAGAGAGGGAGAGTGAGGGAGAGTGAGGGAGAGAGAGGGAGAGAGAGGGAGAGTGAGGAGACTGAGGGAGAGAGAGGGAGAGTGAGGAGAGTGAGGAGAGAGAGGGAGAGTGAGGAGAGTGAGGGAGAGGGAGGGAGAGTGAGGGAGAGAGAGAGAGAGAGAGTGAGAGAGAGGGGGAGTGAGGGAGAGAGAGGGAGAGTGAGGGAGAGTGAGGGAGAGAGAGGGAGAGAGAGGGAGAGTGAGGAGACTGAGGGAGAGAGAGGGAGAGTGAGGAGAGTGAGGAGAGAGAGGGAGAGTGAGGAGAGTGAGGGAGAGGGAGGGAGAGTGAGGGAGAGAGAGAGAGAGAGAGTGAGAGAGAGGGGGAGTGAGGGAGAGAGAGGGAGAGTGAGGAGAGTGAGGAGAGTGAGGAGAGAGAGGGAGAGAGAGAGAGAGAGTGAGGGTGAGTGAGGAGAGTGAGGAGAGAGAGGGAGAGAGAGGGAGAGAGAGGGAGAGAGAGGGAGAGTGAGGGAGAGAGAGGGAGAGAGAGGGAGAGTGAGGAGAGAGAGGGAGAGAGAGGGAGAGTGAGGAGAGTGAGGGAAAGAGAGGGAGAGAGAGGGAGAGTGAGGAGACTGAGGGAGAGTGAGGGAGAGAGAGGGAGAGTGAGGAGAGTGAGGGAGAGAGAGAGAGAGAGTGAGGGTGAGTGAGGAGAGTGAGGAGAGAGAGGGAGAGAGAGGGAGAGAGAGGGAGAGAGAGGGAGAGTGAGGGAGAGTGAGGGAGAGAGAGGGAGAGAGAGGGAGAGTGAGGAGAGAGAGGGAGAGAGAGGGAGAGTGAGGAGAGTGAGGGAAAGAGAGGGAGAGAGAGGGAGAGTGAGGAGACTGAGGGAGAGTGAGGGAGAGAGAGGGAGAGTGAGGAGAGTGAGGGAGAGAGAGAGAGAGAGTGAGGGTGAGTGAGGAGAGTGAGGAGAGAGAGGGAGAGAGAGGGAGAGAGAGGGAAAGAGAGGGGGAGTGAGGGAGAGAGAGGGAGAGTGAGGAGAGTGAGGGAGAGAGAGAGAGAGAGTGAGGGTGAGTGAGGAGAGTGAGGAGAGAGAGGGAGAGAGAGGGAGAGAGAGGGAGAGAGAGGGGGAGTGAGGGAGAGAGAGGGAGAGAGAGGGAGAGTGAGGAGACTGAGGGAGAGAGAGGGAGAGTGAGGAGAGTGAGGAGAGAGAGGGAGAGTGAGGAGAGTGAGGGAGAGTGAGGGAGAGTGAGGGAGAGTGAGGGAGAGAGAGGGAGAGAGAGGGAGAGTGAGGGAGAGTGAGGAGAGTGAGGGAGAGAGAGAGAGAGAGTGAGGGTGAGTGAGGAGAGTGAGGAGAGAGAGGGAGAGAGAGGGAGAGAGAGGGAGAGTGAGGAGAGTGAGGGAGAGAGAGAGAGAGAGTGAGGGTGAGTGAGGAGAGTGAGGAGAGAGGGAGAGAGAGGGAGAGAGAGGGAGAGTGAGGGAGAGAGAGGGAGAGAGAGGGAGAGTGAGGAGACTGAGGGAGAGAGAGGGAGAGAGAGGGAGAGTGAGGAGAGTGAGGAGAGAGAGGGAGAGAGAGGGAGAGAGAGGGAGAGTGAGGGAGAGTGAGGGAGAGAGAGGGAGAGAGAGGGAGAGTGAGGGAGAGTGAGGGAGAGAGAGGGAGAGAGAGGGAGAGTGAGGAGACTGAGGGAGAGAGAGGGAGAGTGAGGAGAGTGAGGAGAGAGAGGGAGAGTGAGGAGAGTGAGGGAGAGGGAGGGAGAGTGAGGGAGAGAGAGAGAGAGAGAGTGAGAGAGAGGGGGAGTGAGGGAGAGAGAGGGAGAGTGAGGGAGAGTGAGGGAGAGGGAGGGAGAGTGAGGGAGAGAGAGAGAGAGAGAGTGAGAGAGAGGGGGAGTGAGGGAGAGAGAGGGAGAGTGAGGAGAGTGAGGAGAGTGAGGAGAGAGAGGGAGAGAGAGGGAGAGAGAGGGAGAGAGAGGGAGAGAGAGGGGGAGTGAGGGAGAGTGAGGAGACTGAGGGAGAGAGAGAGAGAGTGAGGAGAGTGAGGGAAAGAGAGGGAGAGAGAGGGAGAGTGAGGAGACTGAGGGAGAGTGAGGGAGAGAGAGGGAGAGTGAGGAGAGTGAGGGAGAGAGAGAGAGAGAGTGAGGGTGAGTGAGGAGAGTGAGGAGAGAGAGGGAGAGAGAGGGAGAGAGAGGGAGAGAGAGGGAGAGTGAGGGAGAGAGAGGGAGAGTGAGGAGAGTGAGGGAGAGAGAGAGAGAGAGTGAGGGTGAGTGAGGAGAGTGAGGAGAGAGAGGGAGAGAGAGGGAGAGAGAGGGAGAGAGAGGGGGAGTGAGGGAGAGAGAGGGAGAGTGAGGAGAGTGAGGGAGAGAGAGAGAGAGAGTGAGGGTGAGTGAGGAGAGTGAGGAGAGAGAGGGAGAGAGAGGGAGAGAGAGGGAGAGAGAGGGAGAGTGAGGGAGAGAGAGGGAGAGTGAGGGAGAGAGAGGGAGAGTGAGGAGAGTGAGGGAGAGAGAGGGAGAGAGAGGGAGAGAGAGGGGGAGTGAGGGAGAGAGAGAGAGAGTGAGGGAGAGAGAGGGAGAGTGAGGCGAGTGAGGGAGAGAGAGGGAGAGAGAGGGAGAGAGAGGGAGAGTGAGGAGAGAGAGGGAGAGAGAGGGAGAGAGAGGGAGAGAGAGGGGGAGTGAGGGAGAGAGAGAGAGAGTGAGGGAGAGAGAGGGAGAGTGAGGCGAGTGAGGGAGAGAGAGGGAGAGAGAGGGAGAGAGAGGGAGAGTGAGGAGAGTGAGGGAGAGAGAGGGAGAGAGAGGGTGCGTGAGGGAGAGTGAGTGACAGTGATGGATGGAGAGGGAGAGTGAGGGAGAGTGAGGGAAAGTAGGGACACTGGAGGATAGTATGGTCACTGAGGGGACAGTGAGGAGACCGTGAAGTGACAGGGAGTTGACTTATACAGGACACTCGGGGACAGTATGGTCACTGAGGGAACAGTGAGGGGACAGTGAGGAGAGTGAAGGGACAGTAGGTACTCTGTTGGACACTATGGTCAGTGAGTAGACAGTATGGTCAGTGAGGGGACAGTTTAAGTACAGTGATGGACAGTGATGGGATGCTGACATTGATAGGGGCAAGATGAATGGACAGAATAAGTGATTAAATAGTTAATTTGACTAGGGGATTATAAATAGAAAAATACAGGAAACTCCTCTAAATTAATGATTACTCGAGAAAGCATGTTGGTGTAACCAAGACTGAGCAGTCTTTCTTAGCAACAAAACTGTACCACAGAAGCCCAGGATATGCTCCAAAACAGTGAAGCAATTATGGTGTGAGACCCACATCCTGCACAGTGAGCTCAGGGAGCTAATGACCCCTGAGTTAAAGCAGGCTCTGTGCACACAAAAAGCGATCATTTATGGGAAGGTGACTTTCAAAATGAAAGACCCTCATTGTACTGAGACCCAAAATATTTTCCGGAGTCTACGACAGTCCTGACTTGACCATCTAGGGAGGGAAAAGTAAACTCCTCTACCCTACCTTGGGGAGGAACTGATGACCAAATATGACTTTTACTCAAGAGAGACCAAGAAGGTGTTTTCCTTTCCCCACTTCTTCGATGGAAAACGGTGTCCACGAAGTTCTCAGGGAGCAGCACTGCTCCACCACTGCTCGTGAGTGTCACAAGCCTCCTAGTCTAAAAAATCATTTCTCATCTACCACTTTACCCTTGCTGAATTCTCCCCGTCGATTTGAGGGACTGTGTATGGTACAGAAGCTCTTCAGATGCCCTCTGAAATGACCCCAATCTGTTTAAAGGTGACAGCAATGGGAAAGCGAACAGACAGAGAGGGACAGTGAGAGGCAGTGAGGGATGGGGAGGGACACTGAGGGGACCCTGGGGTCAGACAGGGGGCCCGAGGGCCCAGTGGGGTGTCCCCCCACCTTGAAGAGGGTCACGGTGGCGCTGTAGCAGACGCTGAGCAGGAAGAGCGTGATGAAGATGGAGATGGTCGTCCAGAGCCCGTCCAGCTCCCCGTCCTGGGTGTCCGCACAGCTCTCCTCCTCCAGGCGCAGGTCTGCACAGGGAGGGGTGGTCAGTGCTGTCTCTGCCCACGGGGGGCTGGGCAGGGTCATCGGGGCCTCGGGGCAGGGCTCCCTCTGGGGGGAAGGCGGCGTGATCCCCCATGAGCTGGGCAGGGGTCACCTGAGGTCAGTCTCTGGGCCCCAGCCCCAGCCCCTACCCCTCCAGCCCTGGCCGCTGTCTGGGCCTGGCCTGTGGGGTCCTGCTCCCATCCTGAGCTGCGCCCTGACCTGGGGCCCAGATCCCACCTCCCCGCAGGACAGAGGCTCAGTTCCAGGTCTCCTCTGCCCTGGGGGCCAGGCCTGGAGCCAGGAGGGTCAGCAGAACTGGGAGGGTCAGCAGAGCGCATGTGCCTGGGCCCTGGCCCTGAGGAGGGAGGGCAGACAGCGCCGGGCTGTGTCCCTGTGCCCGAGGGTGAGGGTGCCGGGATGAGGGGCTGAGGGGAGATCTCAGCCTGCTAGGGTAGGGTGTGGGTGCCCCAGGGGAGGCGAGGGACGGATGTCTGATCTGGTCAGTGTGGTCAGTGTGGGGAAGGGCTGCTGAGAAGCCCATGGGCGCTGGAGGGTGGGGACCAGCTGGTGTCCACTGTGAGGGCTCACGAGAACCAGCTCTGGGTCTGGGCCTGTGGGGTCGCCCCATGGGTCCTTAAGTGTGAGGCCTGAGTGTGTGCAGAGGTCGTGGGTGTGTGACGGGGGTGAACTGTGCTCAGGTGGGCACCTGAGTGTGTGTGGAGGAGGCTGGGTGTGGCTGTCTTGTGTGTGTGCGGGGCTCTGGGCTCAGAGGCCGCAGGGAGCAGGTAGGTCCCTGCCCTGGACGTTCAGGGTTCCGGCCGGGGCCCCTTTCAGACACAGGGATGACATCCCCATGAGCGCACAGGCCTGGCCCCGGGCAGGGAGAGCTGGGCAGAGCCTCCTGGATGGGGGAGAGTGAGGCCTGACCTCGGGAGCCTGAGGGTGATGCAGGGCCACCCCCGGGCACGCCTGGCTCCCAGGCAGGCCCAGAGTGGACACATGGATGCTGGACACCCAGGGACAGGGGCCTGGGGACAAGGATGCGGCCCTGCCCCACAGCATGGGCTGGAGCAGAGGTGGGAAGCATTGGGCCTCAATCCCTGAGGGTCTCGGGGGCTTCCCCCATTCCTGTCCAGAGTCCGGCCCGGCAGGTGGTGGCTGGAGGGGGCCATGGAGCTGCGCCTCTGGCCAATCTCCTCCGCGGCCTCGGGCAGCCCCCAGGTGGCCTGCTGCACCCACTCACTGTGTGTCTGGCCTTGGGGTTTGGGAGTCAGATCCCCCAAAATGGTGAACAAAGTGGCCCAGAGTCAGCCCAGCCCGCCCCTCGCAGGCCTGGCGGTCACCAGGGCTCTGCCTCGGAAAGAACCAGCACAGCGTTGCAGGGTCCCAGGGCGGCGCTGGGTGCTTTATTCACGGCGGCCCAGGAGGAATGCACACAGGGAGGGGCTGGGGGTCCTGGCTGGACCTGGAGCCCGGGGGGGTGGGGTGGGCGAGGGCTTGCCGGTGCAGGGACGTGTGGCTCAATTACCCGGAGACTTAGAGATGGACTTCTGTGTGTAGTGATTGTGCAGAGCCTCATGCATCACTATACACGTGTAGCTGTCTCCTTCTAGCCAGCTGCTCTTGTTCACCCTGAGCCTGCTGTACAGGAAGTAGGAGCCGTCGGCGTCCAGCTGGGGTGGGGTCGTGCTGTACTTGCCCTCCGACTCAGGCTGCCCATCTCTCTGCCACTCCACGGCGATGTAGTCTGGGTAGAAGCCGGTGATCAGGCAGGTGAGGCTGACCGTGCTTTTGCTGAGCTCTTCCCGGGGTGGGGCCAGGACGTACACCTGTGGCTCCAGGGCCTGCCCTGTGGGGACAGGAAAGGCTGTTAGCACAGCGGTCACTCTGATTGGCCCACAGGACCCTCCTAGGCCCGTCCACCTGGCCCACCTTTGGTCCTGGAGATGGTTCTCACGATGGGGGCCGGGAGGCCTTCGTTGTAGACCTTGCACTTGAACTCCTTTCCCCCAGTCCAGTCCTGGTGCTGGATGGGCAGAGCGCTGACCACGCGGTAGGTGCTGTTGAACTGCTCCTCTCTCGCCTTTGTCCTGGCCGTGTGCACCTCCACGTCATTCACGAACCAGGTGAACTTGACCTCGGGGTCATCCTGGCCCACGTCCACCACCACACACGTGACCTCGGGTGTTCCAGAGATTGTGAGGGTGTCCTTGGGTTTCGGGGGGAAGATGAAGACAGACGGTCCTCCGGGGAGTTCAGGGGCTTTGGGGAAGACATAACAGGTGTCAGCCCCTGGGCAGACCTCCTCTTGGGCCTACACAGCCTCACCTGTGGCTCTCCAGGACATTGTCTACCTCCGGGGTGTGAAGGTGAGACTGGGTGACTTACCTGGGCATGGGCAAGGTGGGCAGGTTTTCTTACATCTGGGCACTGCAGAGAGAGCAGACTGGGGGTTACCAGGGGCAGGAAGCCAGGGGCTGGGCTTAGGGCAGGGACAGGTTTTGGCAGATCTGAGCCCAGGGCCCGCCTCTGTGGGTCCAGGCGGGTGGACGTTGTCCAGCCTGTGGCCACCCTGGATGCGGTGGAAACTCCAGACGACCCCCTCCCCAAGCCTGAGAGACCTTCAGGAGAGGAAGACAGACAGGCCTCCCCTGACACTCTGGGCCTGGTTTACATCATCCCTGGGGTGGGGGCCTTGCAGGCAGGGGGGCTGACCCTGGTCTCCTGGAGTGGAACCCTCCCCGGGGCCTGTCTTCTCACCGACATGCTTGTCCACCTTGGTGCTGCTGGCCGGGTGGGCTACGTTGCAGGTGAAGGTCTGGGATTCTGAGGTGCTGGCGGGCACGGTCACGATGCTGCTGAGAGAGTAGAGCCCGGAGGACTGCAGGACAGCCGGGAAGGTGTGTACACCGCTGGTCAGGGCACCTGAGTTCCAGGTCACGGTCACCGGCTCGGGCATGTAACTGGAGACCAGGCAGCCTAGGGTCACGGTGGAGCTGGACGTGTCCCCGCAGCAAGAACCCAGAGGGTAGACTTTCGGGGCTGTGGTGGAGGCTGTGAGAGAGGAGGCTGGGTGAATGCTGGGTCCGGCAGGACCTCAGGTGCCCAGGCCTGGGGCACGGCTGAGACCAGCCACCGTGTGCTTCCAGAGTCTGATGACCGGCCGGCGTGGTCTGGCCGCCCTGCTCTGTGCGCGGCAGCTGGGGTGTCTGGACACAGCTGGGCTCGGTGAGTGTGGGCTCCTGGATCAGAGCCCCGAGGCCGCTCCCCTCCGGTGGGTGCCTGGCCTGACCCGTGCCCCCTGCTCCCCCAGCCTGGTCAGCTTCCTGGGCCTGCAGCCCATCTGACCACCGAGCAGGCGCCCCATGTCCCCTTGGCCACTCGCACCACCCTTTCAAGCACACTGTGCCAGGCCCGGCCCCGCTTTGGCTCCTGATCCACACAGGCTGCAGGGACAGGCGGACCGTCGGCCCAGGAAGTACAGCCCACTCGGTGCCCTCAGGGCGCCCCTTCCCTGCAGCCCCAGAGCCCTTCCTCTTGGGTCTTTGCTGCTCCTTGCACCGTTCTCCATGCAGACCCTCCACCAAACAGCATTCCCGTTAGCTTGAGGGGCGGCCCACACCCCTGGTCTCAGCCCTCTGCCTCACCGGCTGTGGCCTGAGCTCTCCTGGCCCTGTGCCCCTGCTCCCTGATCCCCGCCGCTCTCCCTCGTCCAGCACCCACAGCCCTGCTCTCAGGCCTCTGGACTCAGCTCCGGGCGGCTGTGCTCTCGGACCCATCTTCTCTGCAGGGCTCACACTGCCCAGTGTCCTTGCGTCTGGCGCCACAGCACAAACGGCCCCTTGCACCCTAGGATCCTTTCCTACTGAAGTGCTCAGCACACACATGGTCCGTTGAGTTCGTAGGCAGGGACCTGACATCCCAGCCCCTGCTCAGCTGCACAGTCTTTGCTCCCCTAAAACCCTGGGAGAGCTCCCTGAATTCCCAGCCCCCTGCTTATTCCCAGAAGCTGTAACCGCTCTCCCAAATCTCTAAGGGCACCCCCTGTCCTCCCAGTGCCCTGCTCATCCCTAGAAGCTCTACCTGCTCCCCTAAAGTTCTTGAGTAACTCTGCCCTCCGAGCCCCCTGCTCAATCTCACAAGCTGTATCTGATCCCCCAAATCTCCAGGGGTTCCCCCTGTCCTCCCAGCCCCTTGCTCACCCCCAAAAGCTGTACCAGTTCCCCCAAAGCACCGGGGCTCCCCTGTCCTCCCAGCTCCCTGCTCACCCCCAAAAGCTGTACCTGCTCTCCCAAAGTACCAGGGGCCCCCTGTCCTCCCAGGCCCTGGTGACCCTCAACAGCTGTACTTACTCCCCCAAAGACCAGAGCATCCCCTGTCCTCCCAGCCTCCTGCTCACCCTCGAAAGCTGTACCTGCTCCCCCAAAGCATCAGGGGCACCCCCTGCCCTCTCAGTACCTGCTCATTCTCACAAGCTATACCTGCTCCCCCAAAGCACCAGGGGCACCTCCTGCCCTCCCAGCCCCTGCTCACCCTCACAAGCTGTACCTGCTCCCCCAAAGCACCAGGAGTCCCCCTGTCCTCCCAGCCTCCTGCTCACCTTTGCAAGCTGTACCTGCTCCCCCAAAGGACCAGGGACACCCCCTGCCCTTCCAGCCCCCTGCTCACCCTCACAAACTGTACCTGCTCCCCCAAAGCACCAGGGGTCCCCCTGTCCTCCCAGCCTCCTGCTCACCTTTGCAAGCTGTACCTGCTCCCCCAAAGGACCAGGGACACCCCCTGCCCTTCCAGCCCCCTGCTCACCCTCACAAACTGTACCTGCTCCCCCAAAGCACCAGGGGTCCCCCTGTCCTCCCAGCCTCCTTCTCGCCTTCGCAAGCTGTATTGGCTCCCCCAAAGCACCAGGGACACCCCCTGCCCTCCCAGTCTCCTGCTCACCCCCAAAAGCTGTACCTGATCCCGCAAAGCACCCGGGGCTCCCCCAGCCCTCCCAGCCTCCTGCTCACCCTCATGAGCTGTGCCTGCTCCCCCAGAGCACCAGGGCTCCCCCTACCCCCCCAGCCCCCTGCTCACCCTCATAACCTGTACCTGCTCCTCAAAGCACTAGGGGCTGCCCCCTGAAATCCCAGCCCCTTCTCACCCTCACAAGATGTACCCACTCTTTGAAAGCACCAGTGGCTCCCCCTGCCCTCCCAGCTCCCTGCTCGCCTACAAAATCTGTACCTGCTCCCCCAAAGCACCAGGGGCTCCCCCTGCTCACCCCCCAAAGCTGTACCTGCTCCCCCAAAGCACCCAGGGGCTCCCCCTGACCTCCCAGCCCCCTGCTCACCCCCCAAAGCTGTACCTGCTCCCCCAAAGCACCAGGGGCTCCCCCTGCCCTCCCAGCCTCCTGCTCACCCTCACAAGCTGTACCTGCTCCCCCAAAGCACCAGGGGCTCCCCCTGACCTCCCAGCCCCCTGCTCACCCCCCAAAGCTGTACCTGCTCCCCCAAAGCACCCAGGGCTTCCCCTGCCCTCCCAGCCTCCTGCTCACCCTCACAAGCTGTACCTGCTCCCCCAAAGCACCAGGGGCCTCCCTGCCCTCCCAGCCCCCTGCTCACCCTCACAAGCTGTACCTGCTCCCCCAAAGCACCAGGGGCTCCCCCTGACCTCCCAGCCCCCTGCTCATCCCCAAAATCTGTACCTGCTCCCCCAAAGCACCCAGGGCTTCCCCTGACCTCCCAGCCTCCTGCTCACCCTCACAAGCTGTACCTGCTCCCCCAAAGCATCAGGGGCTGGCTCCCCTTGCCCTCCCAGCCCCCTGCTCACCCTCACAAGCTGTACCTGCTCCTCCAAAGCACCAGAGGCTCCTCTTGCCCTCCCAGCCTCTTGCTCATCCTCACAAGCTGTACCTGCTCCCTGAAAATACCAGGGGCTCCCCCTATGCTCCAAGTCCCCTGCTCACCCTCATAAATTGTACCTGCTCCCCCAAAGCACTGGGGACACCCTCTGCCCTCCCAGCCTCCTGCTCACCCTCACGAGCTGTACCTGCTCCCCCACAGCACCCGGGGCTCCCCCTGCTGTCCCAGCCCCCTGCTCACTCTCATAACCTGTACCTGCTCCCCCACAGCACCCAGGGCTTCCCCTGACCTCCCAGCCTCCTGCTCACCCCCAAAAGCTGTACCTGCTCCCCCAAAGCACCCAGGGCTTCCCCTGACCTCCCAGCCTCCTGCTCACCCTCACAAGCTGTACCTGCTCCCCCAAAGCATCAGGGGCTGGCTCCCCTTGCCCTCCCAGCCCCCTGCTCACCCTCACAAGCTGTACCTCCTCCCCCAAAGCACCCAGGGCTTCCCCTGACCTCCCAGCCTCCTGCTCACCCCCAAAAGCTGTACCTGCTCCCCCAAAGCACCCAGGGCTCCCCCTGACCTCCCAGCCCCCTGCTCACCCTCACAAGCTGTACCTGCTCCCCCAAAGCACCCAGGGCTTCCCCTGCCCTCCCAGCCTCCTGCTCACCCCCAAAAGCTGTACCTGCTCCCCCAAAGCACCCAGGGCTTCCCCTGACCTCCCAGCCCCCTGCTCACCCTCACAAGCTGTACCTGCTCCCCCAAAGCACCCAGGGCTTCCCCTGACCTCCCAGCCTCCTGCTCACCCCCAAAAGCTGTACCTGCTCCTCCAAAGCACCCAGGGCTTCCCCTAACCTCCCAGCCCCCTGCTCACCCTCACAAGCTGTACCTGCTCCTCCAAAGCACCAGAGGCTCCTCTTGCCCTCCCAGCCCCCGGCTCATCTACAAAATCTGTACCTGCTCCCCCAAAGCACCAGGGGCACCCCCTTTCCACCCAGCCTCCTGCTCATCCTCACAAGCTGTACCTGCTCCCTGAAAATACCAGGGGCTCCCCCTATGCTCCAAGTCCCCTGATCACCCTCATAAATTGTACCTGCTCCCCCAAAGCACCCAGGGCTTCCCCTGACCTCTCAGCCTCCTGCTCACCCTCACAAGCTGTATCTGCTCCCCCAAAGCATCAGGGGCTGGCTCCCCTTGCCCTCCCAGCCCCCTGCTCACCCTCACAAGCTGTACCTGCTCCCCCAAAGCACCAGAGGCTCCCCTTGCCCTCCCAGCCCCCTGCTCATCTACAAAATCTGTACCTGCTCCCCCGAAGCACCAGGGGCACCCCCTTTCCACCCAGCCTCCTGCTCATCCTCACAAGCTGTACCTGCTCCCTGAAAATACCAGGGGCTCCCCCTATGCTCCAAGCCCCCTGCTCACCCTCACGAGCTGTACCTGCTCCCCCAAAACACCAGGGGCTCCCCCCGCTGTCCCAGCCCCCTGCTCACCCTCACAAGCTGTACCTGCTCCCCCAAAGCACCAGGAGCTCCCCCTGACCTCCTAGCCCCCTGCTCATCTACAAAATCTGTATCTGCTCCCCCAAAGCACCAGGGGCACCCCCTTTCCACCCAGCCTCCTGCTCATCCTCACAAGCTGTACCTGCTCCCTGAAAACACCAGGGGCTCCTCCTGTGCTCCAGGCCCCCTGCTCACCCTCATACGCTGTACCTGCTCCCCCAAAGCACCAGGGCATCCCCTTGCCCTCCTGGCCACTGCTCACCTGTGGCCTCGCTGAAGCCTGTCCCTGGGCTGCCATCTCAGCCTCCCCTGCACCTCTGTTCCCCCTGTGAGCCCTCACTCCTGCCCAGCTCCAGTCCTCACTCCTTTATTTCCTGGGCTCAGCTCTCCTCCCTGGACTTGCCAGGGGCCCCGCGGCCTCCGGGAAGCTCTCCCCTGGAGGCGCTCTGTCCACCTGGGCCCCTCCGCGTGGAGGTCCTGCCCTTGCTCTCCACTCTTCTCTGTCCCTCCACCCACGCCCTCCTCTGGCCCCTTGCTGCCTCCAGTTTTCGGGTCACCTGCCCTCTGCCCAGCTCCCGCTCCTGGTCCTCGGGCTCCATGCTCTGGTCAGCCCGCTGCATCCTGGGGGCTGTGGGCTCAGCCCTGTGCTGCCCGCCGTGGACACAGAGCACGGCCAGCCCGCAGCCCTGTGCCTGGCTCTGCCACTGCGCTCGGCCCCAGCCCAGTCGGGACC